TAATCTATACAAGAGAAGGGGGTACTAGTCCCTTGCTCCTGGCATTTTAGTAGCCTCTTATGCCACACGGCTTACAGAGGAAGGATTCTTCTCCACTTCCCCGAAATGCTCTGAATATTAAGGGGCTTTCTGCATGCACACCTAAGTGTCATTCACCTCTGTATAATCATTGTATCATGCTGAAATAAAGTATCTTACCTTATCTTATGGAGAGCATCTTATATGTACAGCCTCAGGGAAATGGGATATAATCAGGCGTGATCCTAGTATGGGAAAAATATTGTTAGTGCCTTAGAACAAGAGCCCTTCCCCCAGATCAGCAAACCCCTTTCTTGAAGGGTACTATGCCTATTGAACCTGCAGTAATTTTGTCCTTACCTGAAATGCCTGGAAAGTGAAAGTTGCAGCACCTTTGCAAAGGCTTTTAATGAGTGAGTAAATTTCATACAGGAAAATGTTTCCATCATCTTCGTTATGATCATCCTTTTGCATCTGAGTTTGAGCATGAGAAATTATAGCATATTCAAGTGACACTGCATTTTGTTCAGAATGCTGGCAAGTGCTAGGGCATTCCTCCACAGTTGCTTTGCTCCTTGTGTTGATATCATGCCAGCTACCCTCATTATATATCCACTGGACACCCGAATTAAAAAGCCCATGAAGAAGCAACACAATTAGCCGAGATGGTTTAACACATCTAAACTTCTCGCCCTGAAATTTCAAACTTTCAGAGCGTAGTGTAAAAATCTCTTCAACTGAATGTTTGGAATCTTTCTGAATTTTATTCATTCCTAGTTTATTGATGGCAAATAGTATGCTGAAGAACTCAGCTTTCACATTTTCACTTTTCAGATATGCTAATGTGATATTAAATGACATAGCAATGACCAAGGCATACTCAGAGGGCAATTTATCACTTGTCAGGGTCAAAAATAGTGAAAAATAAACTGTTTCTAAGAGGTTTGTTATTTTAGGCTTCTCAAGATGGTGGAAAATTTTGGGCAAGACATACTGCAGCATACCATGTAGAGCCTGAAAACAGAAAGCTGTTTTAGATATTTTTTAAAGGATAAAGCCAAATCATGTATACAATAAGAATAATGCCCTCCATAAGTATAAGCTTCTCAAAACATGTAACAAAACTTTTTACTACTACTAATAATAATACTGAGTATTATTATTATTATTATTATTATTATTATTATTATTATTAATGTGTTCATCAAGATGTTCCTATAGTGTAATGATCTGAGAGTCTCTGAACTACTACTGACTTACTAAGGAATTTGCTCCAGTTCTCATCAATTTATTTTACATTACATATATCAATTTTGGTACATGTATTAATATTAGCTTCATAGTCATAATTATCAATGATACCAGTTCTAGACAGATTATCAATCATTCATGTAGGTAACATGTATTGTTCAAAGAGAATCTACGTACTACACTGTGTACTTACTCGATTATGTTTAACTTACTTTAGCAGCAACATTAAAGCACAAGTGATTGCTATAATCTTCAGTGTGAAGTGTGTGGAGTATGTGTGTACATGCAAGAATAATCTCCTCCAAACACACAGCCAGGCTCTCATGTAGTGTTGGACACCCAGTACATAACAGCTTCACTAAAAGTAACAGGGAACAAATGAAATTTTATATTAATGACCTCAAAGTATGATTTTGAAAAGCTAATGTTACCAGCTCAATAAAAGATTAACCACCATCCAAAACAGCATATTGTACCCTATCAGTTATTTTGCTTATTTCATAAACTGTCCCATTTTGTGTGTAAAATAAAATCTATATAGACACTGATGTTTGACTAATCTCCAAGTACAGTATAGTACTAACTATTCTCATCATTATTTTAATGAGTATAAATATTAACCAGATTAGAGTGATATGTTATATTTAAGGCATATGGTCTCTGAAGCACAAAATGAACCCAAATTTGAAATAAAATTTGCTTTGCAGGAGCTCTTGGAATGTTACCTCCCATGAAAGGTTGTGTTGTGAACAGTTTAAAAAATTAAACTTGCCAGTTATCAGAGTTTTGTGATCATCTTCTGCCAATGAACTTCTGACCTTAGTGATCACTTCTGCAATTAATAATCTCTTGACATCTGGTAACAACAACTCTGTTTCCTGTAAAGTGATGTTCTCCTTTGATCTCATGAGGATATTTTACATCAATTACTTGTTAATATATTGTACATTATTGCATAGTTGAATAAAAATATAATAATAATTCTAATAAGCAGTACACACATTGATAACAAAAATAGCATAAAATGGCTTATACTGATAAGTATATACCTTACACAGATCATATATATATGTATGTTGTAGAAACTGAAGTTCTTTGTGTTCTTTAAATTAATTAAATATAAAATAACATTATTTTTAAATGTGGGAATATTTTGTAGGCCTGTCACTAAGGCCTTTTTTACATCACTAGCCTTTGACCTTCTTTACCTTTCTGATGTCACGAACAATCTTTTCATCAAGTGGCTGTGTAAATAACTTGTGTGTGATTTTCTGGACTACTTCTGCCATAGTGAAAAGCCATCTACTGAAGCTTTAGCAATTACACGATTCTGCAGAAATAAAATACAATTAGGAATCTTTGTATGAGAGTACAGCTCATATTTACTTTTGCGATGGGTATTTTTAATGTAAATACTCTGATACATGTATTAGACAGATTGTGCAACTGAGCTAGTTAAATTTTGTGCAAATGGGAAAAAGCTAATTTTTGCTAAACAATCTGAGCCTAACTCTATTAAAACAATTCCTGACTCAGTTGTAACAATACATAACTCACTTTAAACAATTCATAACTCAACTGTAACAATTCCTACCTCAACTCTAATTCCTGCCTCAGTTATAAGCCCTTCTTCAAGCAAAATCATTCATACCACAATTAAAATAATTTCTACTACTACTGTACATATTTCCTTCCTCACTGATAACTACCACTGTAATTGTAACACTTCCTGTATCTATTATAACAATTTTTGCCTCAAGTGGAATACTGTATACACATATTGTGCTATTTAAATTAAGGGTGGGCAACAAAAGCCCAAATATTTTATATAAAACAATTTATTGGTCACTAACAAGGAACCAAGACACTACCAGTGGTAGTGTCTGGTAAGTAGTCAGAAAATTGCAAATGTGTTGGAGACCGAAAGGTTTTAAACTGCAGAATATGCCAAAATATTCAAAAGTTTATTTTCCCCAAACTCTTGCATGACCAAGATGATGTAATCAGTCCATCAACCTTGGAGAAAAAGTATTTGAGATGGTGAGTCCCTCAGCTTGAGAGACTGACCCAATACGGGTGGAAACATTAGTACGTGTTTCCTAAGTCACCTGCTGTCCATGTTCACGGTGGCCCGTGGCCTAGTGGCTAAAAGTTCTCGCTTCACACGGCGAGTGTCCGGGTTCGATTCCCAGCGAGGGTGGAAACATTGGGCGTGCTTCTTTACACCAGTTGTCTATGTTCACCCATCAGTAAAATGGATACCTGAGTGTTAGTGCACTGGTGTGGGTCGCATCCTGGGACAAAACTGACTTAATTTGCCCGAAATGCTCAGCATAAAAAGTTACTTTCTATATAGTAGTATGTCATTGATGTCAGCTAGGACTGTATACCTTGTACATGTACTTGTAGAAATAAAGATTTATTATTATTATAAAGCGTCTTGTTGTTGTTGTTGGGTTATAAGGGCCATTAACAGCTTATTCCGTAAAGAGCCCTGATTCTCGAAGTACGGAGAAGATATGTTGCCCAAAGTTAGGCGATGAAAGAAAATAGGAACACGAGTCCTCTTGTATATAGAAACAGAAACTAGAAGTTCCCAAATAGACTAGGTGGACCCCTTGCCCTCTCCAAGCTCTATCAGAGTGTGACGTTCGGCCCCAAACTTGTTGTGACAACGTTCTGATCCGACTTGGACTAGTGATTTGTTAATGGTCCAAGTCGGACCGAAACGTCGTCATAAGTTGATTTCTCCTATGTGCGGGTTATTTGTGTATTATGTATTATTATTCCAGTCACCATCTTGTGCCTCTTTATTATTTGGTGTCCCTTGTGGATTTAGTAATAATAATATTTAATAATACATGTTATAATATTCCTTGTTGTTGTTATAATATAATGATTGTTAAAGGTAACCAAAGTTCACGCCTCATTAAGCCTTCCCGGTCATACCATTCAATGCAATTTTTTAATTAAGAATTACTGCAGATTCAAAACATGCAATAATCTGAAGGCCTATAGGTGTTGGCAAAATGTGGGCTGGAATTATAAAGGAAACAAATCTTCCTTCGCAAAGAGAAATGGGAATAAATAAGTCACTTTGCCTTTTTGGGGGTTACCCTGTTCTCTACACATACGCTGCTATGTATGATAATCTATCTAACTGTATTTGTGTATACCTGAATGAACTTACTAAGTTCCCGTATCAGTATCTCATAGACCTATAAGATAGGGATGCAGGGATATATTTCTCAGATCCGCAGCGACTGAAATACATCTAGTGATTTATACATGGGCTTTTGCCCAATGACACTTACTGTATTGTCTCTTAGCGTACTCGTGGCGCCCCTGTTTTTCATCGCACCGCCTGCCAAGTCTTTTGCTTTTGTAGGGAGTGATTTTCGTGTGCAGATTTGGGACTAGTCCTTCTAGGATTTTCCAAGTGTATATTATCATGTATCTTTCTCGCCTGCTTTCCAAGGAGCACAGGTCAGGGGAAGGGCCTTCAGCCGTTCCCAACAAATTAGGTGCTTTTTGGTATTGGTATGTGCAGTGAAAATTACTGACTCACGAAATCGTAATGACTCGATTGCAAACAAACCATACCACGGGTGGGGTTTGAACCCACGGTTAGAGAGTCTTACATGAGTGGTCGTGTTCAGGCTGTCAGCGGAAGGGTTCACACGATGCTAAGACCATCACAACCCTTCAGTCCAGCTCTCAGCTGAAGGGTTCATACAGTTTTAAGACCGTCACAACCCTTCATTCCAAGAACAGCTGATGGCGGTGACCATCTCCCAAAGACGTAATTTATCTTTCTTTCAGCCTGCCAGCTCTGTGTTTGGTTCACTAATAATCACTGGTCTCGCCACACTCGTCTTGCAGCAGGTGTGGACTCACTGGTGTTAATCTTCTTGGGAGAGAAAAATAGCTTAGGGATTTATATTGAGGTCAGCTGTAGCATTGCTCTGTTTTGCAATCATCTAATCATAGTATCCAGCTTTCTTTCTCTCTCTCCCTCTCTCTCTCTCTCTCTCTGTTGCGGTAGTTTGTACGTTTTTAGAAAGACAGTGTCGAACTATACTGAGATGATGTGTAGCATTGTATAGGTGATGAAGAGCAGGATATATGTAAGACTTTCTTTGTAATATTTAATCTTAATGGCAGAATTATGTGGCGTATGGAATTCAGTTTAGTTAAGATAAATGCCTCTGGACAGGCATGTAGCCAGCAGTTAATGATAATATGCTATTGAGTAGTATTTCTTTTAGTTCTCTTTTTCATTCCATGATTGCCGAGCTATTTAACCAGCAGCCAGGGGTGCTCAAAAGTAATTTAGATAAATATAACCGTATTTCCAGATATGTCAAGTTCGTTTATTGTCATTCTGCTTATTTGTGGTCAAATATACGCTTTTATAAGTTTGTTTAACCCGACCCATTCTAATCTGTAAACTGGCTGTGACCTGTTTGCCATGTAATTAGCATTTAACAAACCTTGACTTTTTCACTGTGATATTTTTGGGTTGTCCAAGGTAATTTACACTGTATGGCAATTGCACTTACATGTACCTGTACTTAAATAAACTTACTTACCCAGCTGCTGGGCAAATAGTCACTTTCTTCCATGATAGTATACAGTATAATAAGAGTTATATATTTACTACATATATCACTATGATTATACAGTACATATACTGCCATCACTATACATGTCACCACCTTTATGCACTACATGTATCACCATTACTGTACACAACATCTATCATCACTATTCATTGCATTTATCACCATCGCTGTATGCCACACCTATCACCACTATACATCTGTCAGCATCACTATACACTGTATCTATCACCATCTTTATGCACTACATATATTACCGTCTTACCATCACTATACAGTACACATACCACCATCACTATACACTGCATGTATCACCATCACTATGCATTACATCTATCACCATACACTACAGATATCACCATGTTTATGCACTGTATATATATATATATATATATATATATATATATAATATATATATATATATATATATATATATATATATATATATATATATATATATATATATATATATAATATATATATCATACATACATACATACATACATACATACATACATACATACATACATACAACACACACACACACACACACACACACACACACACACACACACACACACACACACACACACACACACACACACACACACACACACACACACACACACACACACACACACATACACACACACACCATTACTGTACACCACATATACCACTTATGAGAAACTACCTGCATGAGATTTACAGGGTATTACTTGAATTATTACATGGAAGTAATTTGGGTGAGGTAAGTGGGACTTAGTCACAGTAGGTCACAGAATTGTCACTCCCTCAGTGCCCACTCCTTCACCACTCACAAAAAAGCTAGACCTAACTTTAAATTAATAATTAACATTAAAAAAAAAAAAGCTACTCTGGTAAATTAAAATTATGCGGACTGTATAAAATTCAAAAGAACCAACCTCCAGTAAGGATTAATGGGAACAATAATACACAGACAAGGTAAAAATTTCCTAATTAACTTTATGGTGACAAAATTTCATGTAATTATTAAAAAGAGAAGTTTTGATATTAATACTCACCATCTATGTCACAAGTGAGACATGCCCTGATGCCTAACAAATAGAATCTAAACTGGCCAGTCAGTAATCTTGTTGCTAGGTAACAATGGTGTACTTCCCAGAGTGAGCTGTGATGACGCTGAATTGTTGACATTCTGTCACCACCGGCCAGTGTTTTTGACCCCTTGGGTCAAAAAAAGGGAGCCGAGACGACTAGCAGACAACCTTCCACCCCCATGTCATGAGCACTACTAACTTGTCATCTACACAACCCAATATCAGTTGGAAGCACTCACTCCCTTCTTCCCAAGTAGTTTGGTAGTTTGTGACTACCATTAACCCTTTGAGGGTTTTCGTCGTACTAGTACGTCTTACGCGTAGGGGTTTTTGACGTACTAGTACTCATAAATTCTAGCGGCCTCAAATCTAGTGGGAGAAAGCTGGTAGGCCTTCATATGAAAGAATGGGTCTATGTGGTCAGTGTGCACAGTCTAAAAAAAATCCTGCAGCACGCAGTGCATAATGAGAAAAAAAAAACTTTGACCATTTTTTTTTAATAAATCAGCGACTTTGCAGTGTATTTTCGTATGGTATTTATTGTTGTATTCTAGTTTTCTTGGTCTCATTTTATAGAATGGAAGACGTATTACAGAAATTGAGATGATTTTGACTGGTTTTACAAAGAAAGGTGCCTTGAAATTGAGCTCAAAGTAGCAGAAATGTTCGATTTTTACCAAACTTCAAAGTAAACAAATCGTGCCAAGCGTGCAATACACGTCAACTGGTGAGTCTAATATTCTTTCACAAGTGCACCAATAATATTTATACCATTTTTTACACTAATGCAGTAGTCTGCATAACAGTAAATCTTATATTTTTTGTGAAAATAAAAATTCAAAGTGGAAAGCAAAAGAATATAAGAGGGGCCTTGAGACATGACTAATGACTAAAGGAAATGTCATTTTAGTGCCAGGAATGTCTTTCTTGTTTATTCTGGACCCTATTCGGAAATTGGCATCTTTTGAAATTTGTGTGAAATTGGCAAAATTGCTAAATTCTGACCACTGTACTGGATAGTTGGATTTCATAAATGAGTGGTTTCTTGCACCCATTCGATAGAAAAAATGGAGTTCTAGCGAAATATTCATGTTTTTTGTCGACTAGTACAGTGAAATTGGCCGAAAATGGGGCTCAAAGTGGGCAAAATCGCCGATGCGTAAACATCGCCGAGACCGCTAACTTTGCGAGAGCATAATTCCGTAAGTTTTCTATCAAATTTCAAACTTTTGGTGTCTTTATGATCGGGAAAAGATTCTCTATCTTTTCATAAGAGAAAATAATTTTTTTTTTTTTTTTAAATTTGGCCGACCCTGAGAACGAGTTTCGGAGAGGGCCTGTCGACCCTCAAAGGGTTAATATGCCATATTTACATTACCACTTAAAATTTATATTACATCATATTAACAGTTATAGAAAAGTTATAAAAAATTTTCCACACTATCAGTATACACTATATATCACCATCACTATACACTACATATATCACCATCACTATACACTACATATATCACCATCACTATACAATACATATATCACCATCACTGTACACTACATACATCACCATTACTGTACACTACATATATCACCATCACTATACACTACATCTATCACCATCACTATACACTACATCTATCACCATCACTATACACTACATCTATCACCATACACTACAAACATCATGTTTATTCACTATATCACCATAACTATACAGTACATATACCATCATCACAGCCCTACATACACACACACAATACGTACATTCTGTATTTCAAATGAGGCAGAAGCTCTTATAATTGTGGCAGGAAATATTGCAGTTATAGGAATTATTATAATTGTGGCTGGAAATATTGCAATTATAGGAATTATTATAATTGTAGCAGGAAATGTAGCAGCTTGCAATTGTTATTATCATTTTGCCAGTGATAGTTAAGTTGTGAATTATTATAAGTTAGGAATTATTGTAATTGACACGTGACATATATATACATGTATATTAAAAGTACAGTTCCAAGGTATTATTTTAAGGTGGCAGGAGGTATTATAATTTAGTTAAGACTTATTATATGGAGATAGTTATTATAATTGAGGTAGAAATTATTATTGACATGTTAACTGTACTTTAAAACAGTATGAAGTGAGGTTAATTAACCGAATCTGCAAATACTGTAGAAGTCAATTTTTTATTGAAAAATATGAGATTAGATTAATAAATATTTGTATTTAGCCTGGTAATACATGTATATATGTAAAAGTTGAAGAAAACCATCCACAACTCAACTGTGCAAGCAACCCTGCTTACCTCCAAAAAAATGAGGAGGGTATTCAGTTATCAATTCCATCCTCGGTCTTCTCCACACAAAAGGCTGGACCATGTGAATGTAGGAAATGGAGTTAGGATAATAAAACAGACACCTAGAATAATAAAAATTTTAATATTGCTAAATGGCACTAATGATATTTCTAATTGTATTGATTGGTAGAATAAAGAGGTTTTAGTTTTATAGGTTTTATTTCCATTCTGCAAAGTAGATTGTACCATATTTTACTAGTATGAAATAACTAGTGCAATACTGAAAATAGCAAAGTAAAATAGTAAGTTATCTAATCTTGTATAGTATTCTGTTATAGTTTAATGCTTAATTCATTTAATTATTTGTATCTCAGAGTTAGTTTTCAGCATTTCAGACTTAATATAATTGTGGATGGTTGCGTCTATCCCCAGTACAGGCACGGATGGTTGCGTCTGTCCCTGGTACAAGCAAGAATGGTCATGTCTATCCCCAGTACAGGCACAGATGGTCGCATCTATCCCCAATACAGGCACGGATGGTTGTGTCTATATAATTATGATTACCAAGATATCTGATGTGTCTTTAAATTAACAGGTGTATGATAAGGCTGAAAAATGGAGGGCAGTGGCCATTTCTTTGTGATGGTAGCCAACATATAGTAGAGACTATCAATATGAGGCGTTCAGCGCTGATCATAATATTGGCAGGTGAGTCGTATCTTGGCTAGCATTATCCTTGATTTGAGCAATTAAACCCATCCTCCCTTTCTATGGACTCAACTGATTGTTTTCCATTTTGCTAGTGCTATATATCCACTGTGGGCTTACCTCCCCCATGAATTAAAAATAAATGGCTAATAATAATAATACAGTAATAATCATACAGTAATAAGAATAATAATAATACAGTAATAATCATACAGTGATGATAATACAGAAATAATTTTTTTTATTAACAAATCGGCCATCTCCCACCAAGGTAGGGTGGCCCAATAAAGAAAATCTTTCACCATAATTCACTCCATCACTGTCTTGCCAGAAGTGCACTCACACTACAGTTATAAAACTGCAACATTAACACCCCTCCTTCAGAGTGCAGACACTGTACAGTGGACCCCCGCTTAACGATCACCTCCTAATGCGACCAATTATGTAAGTGTATTTATGTAAGTGCGTTTGTACGTGTATGACTCAAGAAATCGTAATGACACGATTGCAAACAAACCATACCCCCGGCTGGGATTGAACCCACGGTCATAGAGTTGACGGCAGTGAAGGGACTTGAGCTAGAGTTCGTCACGGCCACGCTAGCTGGAGACTCGTCTGTAAAAACTTGCATTTGTGGTCACAGTGGTGCCTGTGCTAACCTTCCTATGGTGTAGAAATATACCTAGTTGGATGAATCTTATTGTGGCTAGCTGGTCTAGTGGCTAACGCGACGGGCTGGAGTTTTGAGACACTGTGACCGCGGGTTCAATCCCGGCCGGGGGTATGGTTTGTACGTGTATGTTTGGGGGTCTGAAATGGACTAATCTACTTCACAACATTCCTTATGGGAACAAATTCAGTCAGTACTGGCACCTGAACATACTTCTGGAATGAAAAAATATCGTTAACCGGGGGTCCACTGTACTTCCCATCTCCAGGACTCAAGTCCGGCTGCCGATTTCCTTGAATCCCTTCATAAATATTACCCTGCTCACACTCCAACAGCACGTCAAATCCTAAAACCCATTTGTCTCCATTTGCTCCTATCTAACACGCTCACGCATGCTTGCTGGAAGTCCAAGCCCCTTGCATACAAAACATCCTTTACCTCCTCCCTCCAACCTTTCCTAGGCCGACTTCTAGTAATAGTACAGGAATAATAATAATATATCAACTTGATGCCAAAATAAGATGTTCACTTGGAATTAATGCATTATTCTTCAGTATTCCTTTTATGTATGTATTTTGTATTGAGCATTGTACAAGATTTGACTTACATTTTGTAATTTCTTTTATATATTTAGGCTTTTACATTTTTATTGAGTAGCTACATTAGATTACTAAAAACAGTAATCATAATCAGTATCATAATAAATAAGCATCAACTTCATTTAGTCAGAACAACCACCAGTGCAGGACGGCCCCACTTATACAGCAGGTTAGGTTCCAGGCTACTGCTGTAAAGCAAGACTTGCTGTAAAGTGAAATGTAGCCTTTTTTTACTTTCATATGCATATAAAATCCTGATAACATGTTTACACTATCATATATTAACCTTAAACTGTCCAAGCAGATCTATGTTCACATGCGTAGTGCTCCAAAAGCAGATCTATGTATTTTTTTACATATTTTCAAATATAACAAAAAAAAAGTAGATCAAAGTTTTTTACACTTTTTCAAATGTAAAAAAAGAAAAAGATCATCTACTTTTTTTACATGCTTTCAAACATACTTTCAAATGTTGAAAAAAACGTAGATCTACGTTTGGACAGTTTAAGGGTTAAGTGAGCATTAAAACTAGGCCTAACAAATGCATATACAGTACACACATTACTTACCTTAAAATATTTTTGTCCTTAGCTTGATATTGAGTGGTGAATATATTTATTGTAGGAAGCCTGAATAAATGAAGAATGGGTATAATTTAATGAAATACAAGGAGATAAAAAAGACCTGAAAACATTGAAATGCTGGATACAAGGAAATTTGCTAAGATCAAAGAAACTCTACTAACTAAACCAAATGAGCCTCTTATCCTAATTACTGAAATGGTAAATAAACTAAATAAGTTCTTGACTAAGATCAAACCTAACCAGCAAAATCCCAAATTCTCATTTTCAAAGTCAGTCATTTACCCTTAATGAAATTTCACTATTACAGTTATCCATCTATAGTTACTCAAGTTTTAACAACAACAACAAAAAAAAAAGGTTTATTCTATCCTGTATCGAGTATATCTTGTTCAGCCTGGGACTTTTTTGATAGGGTTTTCTTCCTTGCAGAACTGCTGACAGCATCAGCATTGCAGAGCAACATACATGGAAAACTTGTGAACAAGCTAGCATGTCGGGGAGGAGCAGCCCACTTTAACACAACTGCAGGAACCATCACCTCACCTCTTTACCCTGGAGCTCCTCCCATCCACATCTCATGTTCATGGATTCTTCACAACCCACACCAAGACACTGTCATTCTCAGGTAATGCCCTTTTCAGGAAATACTGTACTACAAAATTACTTGACTTTAAATTTTTTTTACTCTGGGGCCCTGGGTGAAAATCCAGCCTGGAACATATACTTGTCACCTAACTAATACTGTACCTTCCTTGTCTAGTCTCAGTATGGTCATAGATGTTTTATTGGGCCTTCACCTGTTTGCTCATCATTGCTCTTTTAGTGTTGTGGTCTAGTGTCAGGTGGGGTCGGCTCACCAGCCCTGCATCCAATTCTATACAGTAGAGTAGTTCATTTTTCTGCCAGTTTCCCTTCTTCCCTGAATGTGGGTGACAGTGGAATGTCATATGTGTGTGTGCATTCATCCTTTTATGTCCTCTCAAGAGAGATTCCTTGATGATGAGAGGCTCTTGATCCAAGGAATTGGACTGGTTCTTCCTTTCCTTGGATGTAAGTTAACCCCTTGAGTCTTCAGACCCCCGATCTGGAAAATGTCCAGTGTCCAAGATTTTTCAAAAAAAATTTGTTTAATTTTTTCTTGTGAAATGGTAGAGAATCTTTTTCTGAATGTAATGAAACATAAAGTATGAAATTTGATAGAAAATTGACAAAATTACATTTTTGCAAATTTTGCTGTGTCAACGATATTTACGCATCAGCGATTTTGCCCATTTTAAGTCCTGTTTTTGGCTAAATCATTGTTCCAGTCATCCAAATTCTTAGCTATTTCACTAATATGTCTTCTATTTTATCAATTGAGCACAAGAAAATTGCCCAGTCAGTTAGAGTCCAGAATAAGCAATGCAGGCATTCCTGGCACTAAAATAACATTTCCTGTGTTCATTAGTTATGTTCTCAGGTTTTATATGTAAATTCCATTTTGAATTTTTATTCACACAAAAAATAGAAGATTTACTGTTATGTATTATTTTAATAATTGTATAAATAACATCAGCGCATTCATAAATGCATATTAGACTGACCAGTTGTATACGTATTGGATGAATGACGTGATTTGTTTACTCTGGATTATCGGCAAAAATTAAACATTTCCACTAATTTGAGCTCAATTTCAAACTATTTTCAGTCCTCAAACTAATTAAAGTTGTATACATTTCTGTAATATATCTTCCATTTATCAAATGAGACCAAGAAAATGAATACAGGGATAAAACCCATACAAAAATGCACCTTGCTGTTTTACACCAAACACACAGTGGCAGTTTTTTCTTATTATACACTGTGTGCTGCAGGATTTTTTTTATATGGTGCACACTTACTGTGTAGATCCATTCTCTCTTATCTAGGCCAAAATTTACTGCTCACACCTTATATGAATGAGATGAGCTCATGGTGTAGTACTATGGCACGGACTCTGGCTTCAAAGCTGTTGAATAACAGCACAGACACCAAAAGGGTTAAATGCCTCCCATTTTTTCCTCCCATCATATAACCTCTATGGGTTTAATGCTTTCCCCTAATATAATAATCATCTTGGCTCTGAAGGGTTTGTTGAGTTGATGAGCCTTATGCAGATTATTCACTGGTTACTTTGGCCTCATTTTCAGAGGGTGAGCCAAATACTGGCCTTCCTTGAAAGAACTCTTCTGCTGTGCCTTTTCCTGCTCATGAAAAAAAAAAAAGCATGGGCAGGGGCAGCATGAAATGATCCCCTTTTTCCTTGTAGCCATCTTGGTCAGACTATTTGCTATATTTTTCGTTGGTGGATCACTTTTCTATGCTTTGGCGTATGCTTGTGATCATATTAGTATACAGCACTTGTCTTGGTGTTTTTGTGTGCATTTCAAATGACAGAATCTTTTGACTTTGCAGGGTGAGTCTCCTTGGTGTTTTGCATTCCTTTGATGGCTCTGCCCTTTTCTGTGTATGTAGATCCTCTTCCACAGTTTCTGGCACAATCTTTTAGTATGTAGTGAAACTGCTCCTCGCTCCTCTTAGGTTCCTGTATCTTATACCTGTCTAGTTGGATTTTGCCCCACTTAACAGCTACCTCCATCCTGCAAATTGAATTGTTTGCCATCCTATGGTGCTAAAGCTAACTTATGACACTAGCTTGACTCTATCATCATTACTGATTCCATGTCATTACTGAAGGTCCTGATTCACATAATGACTCTTAACAACTTGCTCATTGGAGAAGCCAGGTATAGATACTCAAAAATACATGAAAATGGAATTTATGTACAATTGTTAAGGATCCCATCACACATTGGATTACTTCTTCATGATGAAGTTGATATGTTAGCCAAGAAGAATACCCTGAAGGATAATGTAGAATATAACTTTGGTGTATCTGTGTTTAGGACTAGGAATAATATTAGGAGAAAAGTAAATAATGAAACTGAATGTCACAAGAATGCAGTTAGAAACCTGAGTAATCTGTAACCCACTGTGATAACATGAACGTAGATAAGTACAATTATGGAGCAACTTGCAATACGAACAGACTAACTGATGTTGCGGTAGTTTGGGGGAGACACAGATGATGATCAAACCAAATGCAAAGTATGTGACCAACCCTATGGTCACATACTTTGCAATAAGTGGACAATTAAGCACTATGTGCTTAATTGTCCACTTATTAACCCTTTGAGGGTTTTCGTCGTACTAGTACGTCTTACGCGTAGGGGTTTTTGACGTACTAGTACTCATAAATTCTAGCGGCCTCAAATCTAGTGGGAGAAAGCTGGTAGGCCTTCATATGAAAGAATGGGTCTATGTGGTCAGTGTGCACAGTCTAAAAAAAATCCTGCAGCACACAGTGCATAATGAGAAAAAAAAAACTTTTACCATTTTTTTTGAATAAATCAGCGACTTTGCAGTGTATTTTCGTATGGTATTTATTGTTGTATTCTAGTTTTCTTGGTCTCATTTTATAAAATGGAAGACATATTACAGAAATTGAGATGATTTTGACTGGTTTTACAAAGAAAAGTGCCTTGAAATTGAGCTCAAAGTAGCAGAAATGTTCGATTTTTACCAAACTTCAAAAGTAAACAAATCGTGCCAAGCGTGCAATACACGTCAACTGGTGAGTCTAATATTCTTTCACAAGTGCACCAATAATATTTATACCATTTCTTACACTAATGCAGTAGTCTGCATAACAGTAAATCTTCTATTTTTTGTGAGAATAAAAATTCAAAGTGGAAAGCAAAAGAATATAAGAGGGGCCTTGAGACGTGACTAATGACCAGAGGAAATGTCATTTTAGTGCCAGGAATGTCTTTCTTGTTTATTCTGGACCCTATTCGGAAATTGGCATCTTTTGAAATTTGTGTGAAATTGGCAAAATTGCTAAATTCTGACCACTGTACTGGATAGTTGAATTTCATAAATGAGTGGTTTCTTGCACCCATTCGATAGAAAAAATGGAGTTCTAGCGAAATATTCATGTTTTTTGTCGACTAGTACAGTGAAATTGGCCAAAAATGGGGCTCAAAGTGGGCAAAATCGCCGATGCGTAAACATCGCCGAGACCGCTAACTTTGCAAGAGCATAATTCCGTAAGTTTTCTATCAAATTTCAAACTTTTGGTGTCTTTATGATCGGGAAAAGATTCTCTATCTTTTCATAAGAGAAAATAATTTTTTTTTTTTTTTAAATTTGGCCGACCCTGAGAACGAGTTTCGGAGAGGGCCTGTCGACCCTCAAAGGGTTAAGGAGCATAGAGATACAGTATAAAAACCTGTGTGACATTTCAAGATATCTTATTAATGAAAATAAGATACAAGATATATTAAGCAAATTTCCTAAATTTGCTTTTAACAGATAGGTGAACTGTAGATATAAATCCAGATGTACTCCTAGGCCCCTTTTGGGGCTATTTCCTAGACTTTTTTGTGTAGCCATATGCTCTTGTGAAACGAAGGCCTGTAATTGTTTTACATGATGGTAGGATTGCTGGTGTCTTTTGTCTGTCTCATAAACATGCAAGATTTCAGGTATGTCTTGCTACTTCTACTCACACTTAGGTTACACTACACATACATGTACAAGCATATATATACACACACCCCTCTGGGTTTTCTTCTATTTTTCTTTCTAGTTCTTGTTCTTGTTTATTTCCTCTTATCTCCATGGGGAAGTGGAACAGAATTCTTCCTCCGTAAGCCATGCGTGTTGTAAGAGGCGACTAAAATACCGGGAGCAAGAGGCTAGTAACCCCTTCTGTATAAATTACTAAATTTAAAAAGAGAAACTTTCGTTTTTCTTTTTGGGCCACCCTGCCTTGGTGGGATACAGCCGGTTTGTTGAAAGAAGAAAGACATGCTCTTGTGCTACTGTCCACAGGATGGATATGGGGTGTACAGTAAACTAGCCACTTTGGTAGCAAAATCTAATCTAAAATTCTAATCTCCATCCTGGATGCTTGACAGCTATCTTCATCCTGGGTGCTGGACAACTGTCTCCATCCTGGGTGCTGGACAGCTATCTCCATCCTGGGTGCTTGATAGCTATCTTCATCCTGGGTGCTTGACAGCTGTCTCCATCTTATGTGCTTGACAGCTATCTCCATCCTGAGTGCTTGACAGCTATCTCCATCCTGAGTGCTTGACAGCTATTTCCATTCTTAGTGCTAGACAGCTATCTTCATCCTGGGTGCTGGACAGCTACCTTTATCTTGTGAGCTGTTAGTATGATTGCAGTATGGCCCCCATGGTCCTACAGCTGAAAACTGCATTTTAAATTATGAAAAAGATTTTTTGCAGAAGGGGCCATGAGTGGATCCCAAGTTCCCACCTCCCAAGATGTCTAGATTCTGGATTCTAACTGGATTGTTCACTGGACTCAGCTGAGTCCTTTGAACAACAACATCCAGGAAACAACTTTTTGATCAGGGAGAAATAATGGCTCAGTAGATCATCCCAGAGTATATTCTAGGGTAATCATTGGTGAGTAATAGATAGTGTGGCATACTTTAATATAAAGTCCCCATAGTCTCTATCATACAGTAATTTTTCACACTTCAAAATTTAGTTTAATGCGCCTTCCTAGTGCACGAGTCTTATCACAGTGTACTGAGGGAAGTGCAGGCTACTACCATTCCTGCTTTGCAGGGTGAACTGCTGTTGCACTTGTCATTTAATGGGACCAACTTTTCCCAGATGTAGCAATAGTCTTAACTTGAGGAGTCACATTCAGTACTTTACTTTAGAGAATATCAATAGGCAAGAAGTACCAATTCTGTATTGTAGGTTTTCTAGTTACCAAATTTTTATCTTGCACTTATTATCTAACAAGAGACTGTAATTAATGCTTTTTCATTAACAGTTTCAGCAAGTTTGACTTGGATGAAGACAAACAGTGTGGTAAAAAGTCACATGAATGTTGCCCACTTCAGTGGTTATTAATAAGAACCAGTAAGGCAGAGAATGATGAGAATGAAGGCAACAGTGATGGTAGTAAGTGGCCTCACAACATACAAGTAAAGAGAGAAACTTCCCACATTAAAAACAGAAGAAACGCTGCTGAATATAATACTTCTCATCAAAGAGGATTGAAGAATAAGAAACACATTAAAGATCACGATGGTACATCAGTTTTAATAGGAAGAATAAGGGAGGAGCATCTGCATAATGATAATGACAATTCTGCTACAGTATTATTTAATGATACAGTACAAGCAAAAAACAGTAGTGAGAATACCAAAAATGCAGATGTATCTAGAGCTCTGGAAAAAACAGAAACAACAGGCCGCATGTGCGGTAACCTGCCACCATATCCTATCATTACCAAAGCTCCGAGAATCATTGTCAAGTTTTTCTCTCACACTAAGGTTTCCTCAGATCACCAGGGATTTGCCCTGCAGTATCAAATAAGTAAGTAGAGTAACATGATAGCAAACCATACCATGGGTGGGGGTTTGAACCTGCGATCAGAGAGTCTCAAAACTCCAGTCCATCACGTTAGCCACTGGGTCAGCTAGCTTCAATAAGATTCATCCAACTAGGTATATTTCTACATCATAGGAAGGTTAGCATAGGCACCACTGTGACCACAAATGCAAGTTTTTACAGATGAATCTCCTGCTAGTATGGCTGTGACGAACTCTACCTCAAGTCCCCTCAAAGCCATCAACATGACTCATGAAATCGTAATGACACGATTGCAAACAAACCATACCATGAGTGGGATTTGAACCCGTGATCAGAGAGTCTCAAAACTCCAGACCGTCGCGTTAGCCACTGGGCCAGCTACCTCCAATAAGATTCATCCAACTAGGTATATTTCTATGTGATGATCTGGAGTTTTGAGACTCTGATTGAGGGTTCAACCCCACCCTTGGTATGGTTTGTTTGCAATCGTGTCATCACGATTTCATGAGTCATGTTGATGGCTTTGAGGGGACTTGAGCTAGAGTTCGTCAAGGCCATGCTAGCGGGAGATTTGTCTGTAAAAACTTGCATTTGTGGTCACAGTGGTGCCTCTGCTAACCTTCCTATGGTGTAGAAATATATCTAGTTAAATGAATCTTATTGAAGTTAGCTGGCCCAGTGGCTGCTCTTGGGTTCAAACCCCACCCATGGTATGGTTTGTTTGCAATCGTGTCATTACGATTTCATGAGTCAACATGAGAACAAATTTTATTCCATAAATTTCATCTCGTATATTTCTTTTTTGCTTTCGTTTGTTCAGCATTTTCATCTGTCATTATTACAGTGTTCTGTTTTCTGTTGTAATGGGAAGCCAGTTACCTGGTTTAATGGTGGTAGGAAACCACTCAACCAGAGAGAATAGATAATGTACACTTTAAGAAATATATAGCTAACATAAATAATGCCTTGATTAACTAATAACTGATTAGCTACACTGTTTACTTTATAAAAATAGAGATGTTACTAAAAACTATTTATGCTTTCATAATATATCTTATTTTTTTCTTAACACTGGCTGTCCCCCGCCAAGGTAGGGTGACCCACAAAAGAAACACTTTCACCATCATTCACACTATCACTATCTTGCTAGAGGCATGCAGATATGACAGTTCAGATGTCCCTCCAAACATTAAATATCCCTACCCCTCTTTTTCTTATTACAGTATAATAGTAGTACCACAGGTGTAGCAATCCACAGTCCAGATTTTCAGTCTTCCTCTTCCCTTACTCTCACAATCACTCATGTACAGTACTATACTCACCATTCATATCAATTCATATAAAAGGACCATATCATCATATCCTGCACCCCTCACTCATAGCATCTGTTGTTAAAGTACATTTTGATAAAACTTTTTTTTTTTTTTTGTCATTGCACCAACCATCTCCCACCGAGGCAGGGTAACCTAAAAAGAAAAATGAAAGTTTTTGTTTTTATGTGTAGTAATTTATACAGAAGGGGTTACTAGCCCCTTGCTCCCAGCATTTTAGTCACCTCTGATAAAGCATTATTTTTTTCATTACTGTATATAATGTTTGTCTGGTCCGAAATCCTGGCCTGGGTCTTTTCCTTGTAGTGACCCTGCAGTTGTCATTATTGTATTACATAAATTATATAACTTTGTTTACTTAAGAAACATGCACATAGGATTTTTTTTTTTTTCAGCAAGTCAGCCGTCTCCCACCGAGGCAGGGTGACCCAAAAAGAAAGAAAATCCCCAAAAAGAAAATACTTTCATCATTCAACACTTTCACTTCACCCACACATAATCACTGTTTTTGCAGAGGTGCCCAGAATACAACAGTTTAGAAGTATATGCATATAAAAATACACAATATGTCCCTCCAAACTGCCAATATAGGAATATCTGAAGTTATTTAACTTGTGTGGAATAGTGATCTAGATGATAATTGTGATGTGGCTTATATCTTGTTTACAATTAAAAGGTTTACCTCCCCTTCCCCCCAGGCAATAACCTAGCAGAGTGTGGCCCTGACAAATTCATGTGTGATGATCCCCGACTGTGTATTCCTAAGTCTTGGAGATGCAGTGGCCAGCCTGAGTGTCCCGATTCCTCAGATGAAGCTAACTGTGAAGGTAAAGTGGCTGTCATGTTACACACACTTAATGGATATTTTTTATTCTTCAATGAACCGGCTGTATCCCAATGAGGCAGGGTGACCTGAATATAAAGCCAAATGCTTTTCTTCTTAAATTTAGTAATTTATACAAGGGAAGGGGTTACTAGCCCTTTGCTCCAAGCATTTTAGTTGCCTCTTACGACACGCATGGCTTACGGACTGTATGGACTTTTTTTGGACTTTTTTTTTTTTTTTTGTCATGTGTATACATGTTTATAGAGGGGCAACTGATATATCGGATCATTATTTAGTTGTAGCTACAGTTAGAGTAAGAGGTAGATGGGAAAAGAGGAAGGTGGCAACAACAAGTAAGAGGGAGGTGAAAGTGTATAAACTAAGGGAGGAGGAAGTTCGGGCGAGATATAAGCGACTATTGGCAGAAAGGTGGGATAGTGCAAAGATGAGTAATGGGGGGGTTGAAGAGGGTTGGAATAGTTTTAAAAATGCAGTATTAGAATGTGGGGCAGAAGTTTGTGGTTATAGGAGGGTGGGTGCAGGAGGAAAGAGGAGTGATTGGTGGAATGATGAAGTAAAGGGTGTGATAAAAAGAGAAAAAGGTAGCTTATGAGAGGTTTTTACAAAGCAGAAGTGTTATAAGAAGAGCAGAATATATGGAGAGTAAAAGAAAGGTAAAGAGAGTGGTGAGAGAGTGCAAAAGGAGAGCAGATGATAGAGTGGGAGAGGCACTGTCAAGAAATTTTAATGAAAATAAGAAAAAATTTTGGAGTGAGTTAAACAAGTTAAGAAAGCCAAGGGAAAATATGGATTTGTCAGTTAAAAAACAGAGTAGGGGAGTTAGTAGATGGGGAGATGGAGGTATTAGGTAGATGGCGAGAATATTTTGAGGAACTTTTAAATGTTAAGGAAGAAACAGAGGCAGTAATTTCATGCACTGGTCAGGGAGGTATACCATCTTTTAGGAGTGAAGAAGAGCAGAATGTAAGTGTGGGGGAGGTACGTGAGGCATTACGTAAAATGAAAGGGGGTAAAGCAGCTGGTACTGATGGGATCATGACAGAAATGTTAAAAGCAGGGGGGGATATAGTGTTGGAGTGGTTGGTACTTTTGTTCAATAAATGTATGAAAGAGGGGAAGGTACCTAGGGATTGGCGGAGAGCATGTATAGTCCCTTTATATAAAGGGAAAGGGGACAAAAGAGACTGTAAAAATTATAGAGGAATAAGCTTACTGAGTATACCAGGAAAAGTGTACGGTAGGGTTATAATTGAAAGAATTAGAGGTAAGACAGAATGTAGGATTGCGGATGAGCAAGGAGGTTTCAGAGTGGGTAGGGGATGTGTAGATCAAGTGTTTACATTGAAGCATATATGTGAACAGTATTTAGATAAAGGTAGGGAAGTTTTTATTGCATTTATGGATTTAGAAAAGGCATATGATAGAGTGGATAGAGGAGCAATGTGGCAGATGTTGCAAGTATATGGAATAGGTGGTAAGTTATTAAATGCTGTAAAGAGTTTTTATGAAGATAGTGAGGCTCAGGTTAGGGTGTGTAGAAGAGAGGGAGACTATTTCCGTAAAAGTAGGTCTTAGACAGGGATGTGTAATGTCACCATGGTTGTTTAATATATTTATAGATGGGGTTGTTAAGGAAGTAAATGCTAGGGTTGTTTGGGAGAGGGGTGGGGATTAAATTATGGGGAATCAAATTCAAAATGGGAATTGACACAGTTACTTTTTGCTGATGATACTGTGCTTATGGGAGATTCTAAAGAAAAATTGCAAAGGTTAGTGGATGAGTTTGGGAATGTGTGTAAAGGTAGAAAGTTGAAAGTGAACATAGAAAAGAGTAAGGTGATGAGGGTGTCAAATGATTTAGATAAAGAAAAATTGGATATCAAATTGGGGAGGAGGGGTATGGAAGAAGTGAATGTTTTCAGATACTTGGGGGTTGACGTGTCGGTGGATGGATTTATGAAGGATGAGGTTAATCATAGAATTGATGAGGGAAAAAAGGTGAGTGGTGCGTTGAGGTATATGTGGAGTCAAAAAACGTTATCTATGGAGGCAAAGAAGGGAATGTATGAAAGTATAGTAGTACCAACACTCTTATATGGTGTGGAAGCTTGGGTGGTAAATGCAGCAGCGAGGAGACGGTTGGAGGCAGTGGAGATGTCCTGTTTAAGGGCAATGTGTGGTGTAAATATTATGCAGAAAATTCGGAGTGTGGAAATTAGGAGAAGGTGTGGAGTTAATAAAAGTATTAGTCAGAGGGCAGAAGAGGGGTTGTTGAGGTGGTTTGGTCATTTAGAGAGAATGGATCAAAGTAGAATGACATGGAAAGCATATAAATCTATAGGGGAAGGAAGGCGGGGTAGGGGTCGTCCTCGAAAGGGTTGGAGAGAGGGGGTAAAGGAGGTTTTGTGGGTAAGGGGCTTGGACTTCCAGCAAGCGTGCGTGAGCGTGTTAGATAGGAGTGAATGGAGACGAATGGTACTTGGGACCTGACGATCTGTTGGAGTGTGAGCAGGGTAATATTTAGTGAAGGATTCAGGGAAACCGGTTATTTTCATATAGTCGGACTTGAGTCCTGGAAATGGGAAGTACAATGCCTGCACTTTAAAGGAGGGGTTTGGGATATTGGCAGTTTGGAGGGATATGTTGTGTATCTTTATATGTGTATGCTTCTAGACTGTTGTATTCTGAGCACCTCTGCAAAAACAGTGATAATGTGCAAGTGTGGTGAAAGTGTTGAATGATGATGAAAGTATTTTCTTTTTGGGGATTTTCTTTCTTTTTTGGGTCACCCTGCCTCGGTGGGAGACGGCTGACTTGTTGAAAAAAAAAAAAAAAAAAAAAAAAAAAAAATTTTAAATTGCCTAAAGTACTAAATATTTGACCTACTCAGTGAAAGTGCTTTGTATATATCACAGCAACTACTGCTAATATATGCTTAGTGCAGAATTAATGTAAAATTTTTAGTCAGTCAAGTCAGAAATTTAGAAAGCCAAGGTAGTCATTAGTATTTATTTATTATATTTAAATTGCTAAACCCATGCGGGTTATTCTCAAAAGTCACTTACTCACCCTAGACTAAATACTCAATACTCAATATTTAACTTTACCAAAAAATCTCCCAGTTACCTAAATCTTAAAACTTCAAGACTAGACACCAAGTTCAGACATTGACTAATACTACATTGTCGTATAAATACCTACACAAAACAGTACTGTACTGCCCTACACCCAATTGTAGCATTCCTATACTGTAAACTACTTTTAGCAAATCACAATGTTATATTCCCATAATATAATTTCAATATTTTACTATTGAAACTATTGTTCATTGTCGACAGGTATGTAATTGAATCACGTTTCATAAAAAGCAGTTTTGAAAATAATATGAATATTTCCTTGGGTTTATGTAAATTAGATTCATTTATAATTAATAGAACTATTGTACAACTTAAACTATGATAAATTTCTTTAGTATTAAGTAGTCAGTAAGCCATTAAATTAAGTCTGTCCATAATGCCTAGGCATGATAGAGGCTCTCTCTGCACTGCAACTCATTATTGTAAATACATAATCTCAATGTACTACTTGCAAAGAAATAAAAATTTGAATTTGAATTCAGCACAAGGAGTGGTGGAGGCTTGATCATCCATCCCTTAAGAACAAGACAGACATGCTGCCTGTGTTGACCATTCCCACCAGTAGCTAGTAGCAGAGAATGTTTGTTTAAATAATGTGGCATATGGTAGGTCAGTGATATGTAGGGTAAGAAGGAGAAGGCCCAGAATGCTATTTTTTATGGGGTGCCTAGGTGCCAGTGAAGGGCTTTTGATCCATGGAATTGGGATTACACTCCATTTCTGTAGATAAGACTGGATTAACTTCCATTCCCAGACACTGTATAATCTACTGTGGATTTACAACTTTCCCAAGGAATATAATAATAATAATTCAAGGAAACTGGTTAGCCAGACTTAAGTCCTGGAGGTGGGAAGGGCAATGTCTGTATTCTAAAGGAGGGGTGAGGAAGTTGCAGTCAGAGGGTAATCTGATTGCGATACTAGTACACTTCTGGAAAGACAGTGTTTGAATGAATGATTGGTGAATGCATTTTTTCTTTGGGTCATCCTGCCTAAATGGGAGATGGCCTACCTATCAGAAAATGAATAACAACAGCTGTGTTGTCACATGGACTAACACTAACAAGAGTCTGGTAATGAGGTAATCTTTGGGGAAACCTCACCTTCTTCAGTGCTATAAAAGCAGGAAAAAACTTTAGTCTACAAGTAATCTCTTCATCCTCCCCAGCTGGTTGTGTGGGAGTAGCAGACAGCCAACACTGTGATGGACGATGGCACTGCAGTGAAGGAGAAGACGAATTGGGGTGTTTTGGTATGTGTTCTTACAAACATTGCTTCTCATTGTAGACTTCTTGAGAGAGGTTTCTTGATGTTGCTGAGGGGCTCTTGATCTGGAGAATTGGATCTCTGCTCTAATTCCCTGAATTGATTCTGAATACCTTCCAACCCCCCCCCTCCCACACAGTTGCTACATAAACCCTACAGATTTAGCACTCCCCCATGATAATTCTCATTATAGAGCAAGCTATATCTATGTGTAATGTACAGTATTATTTGTTTTGTTTTGTTTTTGTCTAGATACTGTAGTATTCTTGTATGGGATGTAAGATTTATAGTGAAATTTTTAATATAAAATGCTATTTCAGATGAAGTTCTAGGAATGTGACACAGTATCAGTATCGGCCATTTTTTAGGTATAGGTGAAAAACGGCCAATACCAGGTGAAACTTCTTAAAATGTGTGTTAATATTACACGTGTGCTTAAAGATATTGACATAACCCTCACAATTGTGAGGGTTACGCACGCATACACGTACTCAGCGTGAGCTGTGACTCAACCCCTGCAACCACATATAGGTGAGTACACACCCTATCCTACCCCCACTCACCCACCCCTACGTACCTACTTTCCTGTATCATTGTAATACCTGTTTGGCAGTAAGTATTTCCTTATATATTGAACATAGGTGTCCTGTAGCTCGATCACTAGTGCACTCAGCTCACGCACTGAGGTCCGGAGTTCGAATCTCCGGTATGACTGGAAAACATTAGGATGTGTTTCCATAAGGCACCTGCTGTCCATGTTCACCCATCGGTATAAAATGGGTACCTAGGTGTTAGTGAACTGGTGTGGGTCACATCCTGGGACAAAACTGACATAATTTGCCCAAAATGCTCTGCATAGCAAACAGCTTTCTATATAGTAGTATGTCATTGATGTCAGGTAAGCCTGTATACCTTGTACATGTATTGTAGAAATAAAGATATTATTTTATTAGTCATGATTTAAAAAATGAAAAACAAAGGAAAAGTATCAGAATTGGCCAAAGATTGAGTATCGGTATCAGCTGAAAATTGAGTATTGGTATCAGCCAAAAATTGAGTATTAGTATCAGCATCAATAGAATTCCTCCTTCCTCCCTGAAGGGTTGGAAGGAGAAGCAGCCAGGGCATCCCACCACAGTGAAGACCTGTTTTTCTCTATTGTGTTAAGTCAAGATCTGATTGAGGGTGTTCACATTAACATTCTGGGAGTTCAGTTGTTATTATTATTATTATTATTATTATTATTATTATTATTATTATTATTATTATTATTATTATTATTATTATTATTATTATTATTTGTCCCATCCCTAAACTGTAACTTATGCATCATGTTTTCACCTCAAGTTCTGCACTTTCATTGTGTACCACTCTGCATCCTGCTGAGATTGTAATCATTCTCTAGAGTTTAAAGGGTCAGTTGCACTCATAATTTATCATGTAACATAAATTGGTTGATATTAACCCTTTCAGAGTTGAGAGGCCCTCTCCTGAACTTGTTCTCAGGGTCAAAAATTTTTCGGAAAAAAAAAAATTATTGTTTAGTTATGAAATGACAGAGAATCTTTTCCTGATCATAATGACACCAAAAGTATGAAATTTGATGGAAAACTTATGGAATTATGCTCTCGCAAAGTTAGCGGTCTCGATGATGTTTACGCATCGGCGATTTCACCCGCTTTGAGCCCTATTTTGAGCCAGTTCCAGTGTACTAGTCGACAAAAATCATAACTTTCGCTAGAACTCCATTTTTTATATTGAATGAGTACAAGAAACCACCGATTTACCGATTTCAACTATCCAATAAAGTGGTCAGAAATTAGCAGTTTTGCCAATTTCACACAAATTTCAAAAGATACCAATTTCCAAATAGGGTCCAGAATAAACAAGACAGACATTCCTGGCACTAAAATAACATTTTCTCTGTTCATTAGTCATGTTCCTAGTCCCCTCTTAAATTTCTTTTGCTTTCCACTTTGAATTTTTACTCTCACAAAAAATAGAAAATTTACTGTTATGCAGACTACTGCATTAGTGTAGAAATGGTATAAATAATATCAGCGCATTTGTGAAAGAATATTAGACTCGCCAGTTGATGTATTTTGGATGCGTGGCATGATTTGTTTACTTTTGAACTTTGACAAAAATCGAACATTTCTGCTACTTAGAGCTCAATTTCAAGGTACTTTTCTTTGTGAAACCAATCAAAATCATCTCAATTTCTGTAATATGTCTTCCATTCTATAAAATGAGACCAGGAAAACTAGAATACAACCATAAGTACCATATGAAAATACAGAGCAAAATCACTGTTTTAAACCAAAAACACGGTCAAAGTTTTTTTTTCTCATTACACACTGTGTGCTGCAGGATTTTTTTTTATATTGTGCACACTGACCACATAGACCCATTCTTTCATATTTAGGTCTACCAGCTTTCTCTTGCTAGATTTAAAGGCGCTAGAATTTATGCGTACTAGTACGTCAGTAACCCTGGTGTGTAAGCTGTACTAGTACATCGGAAACCCTGAAAGGGTTAAATATGTTTCATGTACTTGTTAAATATTTTGTTTCCAATAAAAATGTTTGTGAGGCTTGAGAAATGCTGTTTATTCCTCTGCTGGAAGCTTGTAAGTTATAATGTTGTATTGAGAGAGGGATCTGAATATTGCAGGTTGTGATGCAGACGAGTTTTGGTGTGGAGAAGGAACAGACTGCTATAAGGCCACACGCCGCTGTGATGGTATATCAGATTGTCATAATGGAGCTGATGAAATGTATTGTAGTGAGTATTGTGTTGCAACCAATACCAGTGTGATTACTTAAATCTGGTTATTAAGTAAAGTAATTGCTGGTTAGATTGTGTAAGCAAAATTATTAATCATATAATGTATTTAAAGACATAAGTTCAGTCTTTTAATTTAATGCTAAATACTACAATTATACTCTTAAGTTATTTGCATTTTGGCATTGCAGGTTGCTTGAATCGGACTCAGTGTGCACCAAATTCTGAATTCTGTTATGACCCTAAGACTCAGCGCTGTGATGGTATTCTCCACTGTCCTAGTGGACAGGATGAAATCGATTGTGGTAAGGAAGAGCATACTGTATTATTATTTGATTGGTTTATATGCTTGCTTCCCATGGGGAAGTGAAACAGAATTCTTCCCCCGTAAGCCACATGCGTTGTAAGGGGCGACTAAAATGCCGGGAAAAAGGTGCTAGTAACACCTTCTCCTGTATATATTACTAAATTTAAAAAGAGAATCTTTTGTTTTTCTTCTTGGGCCACGGCTGGTTTGTTGAAAGAAGAAAAAAGAAATATTTTCTCCTAGGTACATAGTAGGTTGGTAGACAGCAACCACCCAGGGAGGTACTACCATCCTGCCAAGTGAGTGTAAAACGAAAGCCTGTAATTGTTTTACATGAAGTAGGATTGCTGGTGTCTTTTTTCTGTCTCATAAACATGCAAGATTTCAGGTACATCTTGCTACTTCTACTTACATTAAGGTCACACTACACGTGCATGTAAAAGCATATACATGCATATACACACACTTCTGGGTTTTCTTCTGTTTTTCTTACTAGTTCTTGTTCTTGTTTATTTCCACTTATCTCCATGGGGAAGTGGAACAGAATTCTTCCTCCGTAACCCATGTGTGTCATAAGAGGCAACTAAAATGCCAGGAGCAAGGGGGGCTAGTAACCCCTTCTCCTGTACATATTACTAAATGTAAAAGGAGAAACTTTCATTTTTTCTCTTGGGGCCCCCCTACCTCGGTGGGATACGGTCGGTGAATTGAAAGAAGATACATGTTTTCTGTGTTGGGGCCAACGTGGAATATGACACATACTCACACCAAAGGCTCACGTTTCTAGGCCCAGTTGAGCATGTCTTGCACTTTTGCATTCAGTGTAGTTCGCTGTCTCCTCCCTCTGCATGTTGTTACACTTGTGTTGCGGTGGTCAGTGTCACCTGGATAGCTTTGCTTCTTCACTTTTCAACCTTATGCCACAGTGTCAGCACCAACTTTTCTCTCCCAGATGAATAATTATTTAGCCAGTGCTTCATTTTCTCTGGTATGGAAGTCCCTGAGCATGTCTGAGGATTGTCTTTATTCTCTGCTCTTATTGAATTCCTATAGGGGATAGCTTTTCACTCTGCTTGGTCCTGCCTTGACTGCTGCTTGTTGGGCTGGGTTGACATCCTCATGATAGTTTAGTGTCCAGTGTATCCTTATTTATTCCCTGTGACTTGTTCTGGGGTGACATTCCCCATGTTGCTGTCTTTAAACAACTTTTGCTACCATTAGTGATCTTACTTGTCAAGAGGGTGTGGCCAAGACTTTCTTTATCTCTTGAGCCTCCCTGCCTCTCTTACCTTTGGATTGGGAGCCCTTGAGTCATCAACTCCAGGACTGTCTTGGGCATTTATCAGATGTTGATCATGTAGACAACATTGCTTCCAATAATAAACTGGCAAGGAGTTTGATATTGTTTACAGCTATGCTTGCCGCTCACAGTATTCCTCTGCTTGCATTCAGGGATTGTGTGCATCCCTGTGCTTTTAGCAGGGATTTTGGCCCCATGTCTTTAGGACTGAGTTCCTACCTCTTGTCTCCTTGATCCTGGGTTTCTTGGGGCGCCTGCTGATTCACCATCTTAGAATAGAGGATATTCACTCCTAAGTTGTCTTGTTTATAGGGTGAAGTGGGTGGATGGCAGACTCTCTTGATTTTTCTTCAGGATCTTCATACATATGATTTTAACAAAATTCAAAGCAGAATCCATCTCCAGGGATTTTTTCTTCTTGTTCAGTACAAATGGGTTGCTTTAATCAATAAGGCCTTTCATTACATCTTGATTCATCATGACAACTCTTCAAGCTCTCCACTCAAGTTGGGGCCATGAGTCTCCACACACATTAATCAGTTTTGTGTACTCAGCCTCTGTACTTGTAGCATGTCTGTTGACATCTTCCAGGATAACTCTCTAGTTACTGGCTTTTTTTATGCTTGCTTATTTTTGGATAGTGCTTCAGGCATTCTAGATAGTAAGCTTCTTATGTAACACGTGAGGCTGGCAAATGTTCTGTAATACTCGATACAGTGGTTTGGAACACTGTTTAGTTTTGCCCCAAAGACAGATCAAAATTCATAGAACAATTATTTTCTCCATATTAGGTTTGGGTCTCATTCATAAGGGCGAAATAGCAAAAGGAATACCACACTCAGCTCCACGACTTAATATTTTATTAAAATAAATATTTATTCCTTGTTTTAATGTCCAATTTATGATTACAAAAGCTTTTATGACTATGGCTTAATAATGTTTAAAGCAAGTAGTACTTTTATTATAAGAAAGCTATGAAAATCTAAAGAACAGCACCCAAAGCTTTCCAGTGAAGATCTAGCACTCACTCTTTACATTTCAACATCTATGTGAAAACAACTGGATGAAGACCCCCACTATTAATAGATATTTCCAGTGGAAGCATTATCAGAGTGCTTTGATCAATGCACACACTTTTACACAATACAGATGTTGCTTAACTCATGTACATCACCTCTATCAGAACTTTGGAAGATGACACAGCATTTAATACTACGTACTGTACTCTACTGTAAGTGCACTTGTTAAATTTGTTTTTCTTAATTCAGTTGTGTCTTGCCAGAAAGACAAGACCATAGTCTTGCCTTTCTGGCAAGACCATTGAATGGGTGAAAGTGAATGTATTTTCTTCATTGTTAAGTCACCCTGCATCATTGGTTGGGGTGTTAAAAAAAAAAAGTCTTGGGAATTGATATTGCATAGAGAATTGTTAATACTTTGGAAATTTCTATTTTCTCTAAAATTGTTAATATTTTTGAAATTCCCAGACTGATATTTGAGAATTATTAGTACAGTGGAACCTCGGTTTTCATCTTTAATCCGTTCCAGAAGGTCGGCCGAAAACCGATTTGTACAAAATCTGAAGTAATATTTCCCATAAGAAATCATGTAAATCCAATTAATCCATTCCAGACACCCAAAAATATTAACAAAAATACATTTTATAGAGAATAACTATAGTTTTACATAGAGAAAACAATGAGAAACAAATGTAAATGACTAATGAAATGGATAAATGAACATTTAACATCACTTTTACTATTAATTGAAGACTCTTGTTGGCATATAGAAGACGGCGAGGAGGGGAGAGGGAGGAGAGGTTATTGTTTGGAAAAGGAATGCCCCTCCATAAGGACTTCAGGTATCAAAGCCCTATCCAGGGTTACTTCCTTTCTTTGTCTTACTGGCACTAGGACCAGCTTGAGTCACTGTACCCCTGTCGCACAAAAAATCTGTCCAGAGAGACCTGTTTCTGGCATCTTGCTCCACCTTGCACAAATGTCCTTAATTGCTAAAGAAGGCACATTCTTCCCTCTCTTCCTCCTCCTCTGAAGCAATTTCCTCAGCTAAGGTCTGTTGCTGTTCCAGGTGAAGGTCTTCTTTCAGATGAGCATGTGGAGTAATGCTCACTGAATGAGTAACAAAGGCAGACTGAGTCACAAATGTATGAGCAGCTACGTCCCTCGGACAGGCGGATATGTCTCGTACGGACGATTTCCAAGCGGATGTACGAAAACAGGGAAAATTTTGCCGAAAAAAGTGGTCGAAAACTGAATTGTACAATAACCGGACCGGACAAAAACTGGGGTTCCACTGAAATTATTGCAATTCTTTAAGTCAGTATTGTAATTGGAGAAAAAAGGCATACCACCCTCAGTGATTGTCTAATATTCCAAGTTTATAGAAAAAGTTTTTCTAGCACTGTACTTTTATTTACGTAAAATATTTTAAGAGGTGCACCTCTAACTGTAGTGTAGGCGCACCTATGGCAAGACAGTGATGAAGTGAATGATGATGAAAGTTTCTTCTTTTTTGGGTCACCCTGCCTTGGTGGGAAATGGCTAATGTGTTAATAAATAAAAACAATATAAGTCGTAGCTATAAGAGATTTAGATTGTGATTACCTAATATATTATAGGTGGGCACTGTCATCACATGATCCCATGTGGTCACGGTGGACTGTGCTATACCGCTGCCCAGCGTTGTGATGGAGCCTCGCAGTGTGGGGATGGTTCTGACGAGGCCAACTGTACACCACAATTGTGTCACCCTCACGTAATTTGCTCCGTTCTCATTTACTTTCATTTTTATTCCTGTGATCCATATACAGGAGGGCCCCGCTTTACAGTGTTTCACTAATGCAGCAGTTTTCAGTTATACCCATTCCTCATTTACTCAAACTTCCTACAATAAATACGTTCACCATTCACTATAAGCCAAGGAGAAAAATGTTTTAAGGTAAGTAATGTGTGTATTGTATATGCATTTTTTTTTGTTTTAGCCCTAGCAATATTGCTCACTTAATTTCTGATATTATAAACATGTTATCAGGCTTTTATATTAATTTGAAAGAAAAAAAAAAAGTATGTTTCACTTTACATCAGTAGTCCGGAACCTAACGTGCTGTATAAGCGGGTCCTCCTGTGCATTCTGTATTATACTGTATTGCTAGTTACCTGGAGTTTAGAAGATACATCATATTTACTTTTATTTAGTGTCTCAGGATAGGTTCAATAGCTTTTCATTTATATCAGATTCAGAAGGGTTGGATTGGAACACACTTGAACAGTGTTTCCCAACCTGAACAGTGTAGCCCATTAAGCGATTTTAAAATTCAGAGGATAGTAAACTCTAAGGGGCAACAGGAGGCCACTTCGAAAGAAATTAGTGTTGAAACCTTATTATGAATTAGATACTGTACATGTGCAACATCTGGCTATCTTTGTAGACGTTTTGCCATCCATTGGCTTTATCAGTACAAATCAAGGACATAATGTGAAGACATTAGAACTATATACAAAAGACAAGGTAATCATTCCCTCAACCACTGGATGGACAAACATCTATAAAGTAAAAATACCAGATGTTGCACATGTGTCTAATTCGTCATCTTGTTGGTATTATATACCATTTGTTCACAAACCTCATTACACATTCAGGTGGTACACACTTTTTTTTTTTTTTTTTTGACAGGTATTGGAAAGCATATTGTAATAAGTGTGTGGCAAGCATATTTTATTTTCCAATTGTGTTTTAGTTCATCATTATTAATTTGATTAACCTTAAAAGAAAGGTCTTTGCAGAATTCATAGTTAATTAAAAATTTATTCTCTGGGGCATAAGCTCACATTGTTCATTAAATAAGAGAGGATGGGGCCTATGTAAAAAAAAAAAACAAGCTGAGAATGTATTACAGAAAGAGTTTCTTTATTAAAGTTGTTAAGGGTCATATATAGGGGCCATGAAAGATAAGGCAAGCCATAGCGAAATGGAACAGAATTCTTCTCCGTAAGCCATGCGTGTTGTAAGAGGCGACTAAAATGCCGGGAGCAAGGGGCTAAGTCACCCCTTCTGTATAAATTACTAAATTTAAAAAGAGAAACTTTTGTTTTTCTTTTTGGGCCTCCCTGCCTTGGTGGGATACAGTTAGTTTGTTGAAAGAAAGAAGAAAGGGCTGAGGAGTTGTTGAGATGGTTTGGACATTTAGAGAGGATGGTACAAAATAGGATGACTTGGAGGGTGTATTAATCTAGTAAAGGGAAGGAGGAGTAGGAGTCATCCTAGGAAAGGTTGGAAGGAGGGGGTAAAGGAGGTTTCATATTGCAAGGGGCTTGGACATCCAACAGGCGTGTACTAGCATGTTAGATAAGAGTGAGTGGAGGCAAGTGTTTTTTTATGACAGTGTGCTGTTGTAGTGTGAGCAAGGTAGTAATTATGAAGGGATTTAGAGAAATCAGTTAGGGAGATTTGAGTTTTGGAGGTAGGAAGGAGTACATTGCCTGCACTCTGAAGGAGAAGTGTGGATAATGCAGGTTACAGGGGCATCTGAACTGTAAGGTGAAATATAATACAATAAATTTTGTATTGGGTACTTTTCTGCTTTTTGAATGTCTTAATTACATTGTGTGTAACAGCTGTAAATATTGACATTTTGTTAAAAAAAAATTGTAAATTACTACTATGAATGATAGCTTTAAAATTCAGCTTCAGATACTGCACACCATTGTACCTTGTTTTACAGCATGGAGCCTTCCTGTGTGCAAATCGCCGCTGCATTCGTGATGCTTGGAGATGTGATCAGTTTGATGACTGTGGAGATGCTAGTGATGAAGAGGACTGCTTAAGGGTAAGATCAGAGCACGCACACATGCACACACACACATGCACACACACGTGCACACACACGTACACACACACACACACACACACACACACACACACACACACACACACACACACACACACACACACACACACACACACACACACACAGACACAACACACACACACACACACACACACCACACACACACACACACACACACACACACACAACACACACACACGCGTGCACACACACACCTAAGCAGAGGTATGATAAAGCTCACGATTCAGGGAGAGTGACCTAGTAGCGACCAGTGAAGAGGCAGGGCCAGGAGCTAGGAATCGACCCCTGCAACCTCAACTAGGTGAGTACACATGTGCACACACACATGTGCACACACACATGCACACACATGCACACACACACATGCACACACAGGCACACACACGTGCACACACACATGAACACACGTGCACACATGTGCGCACACACATACACACACATACATACATACATACATACATACATACATACATACATTCATTCATTTATTGTTGAATTACCATTCTGATAATATTCAGCAAGTTAACACAAGAAAGGTATGTTTATAGTATAGTGATTTTGATGTGCTAGCCTTGACTCCATAATAGCAGCTGCATCATACACTGCAGAAATGGGTCTCTGAATATTAAGTTTATTTTTAATTACTGTCTATATGTGCTATATTTAAAAATAAATTCCTTTTTTTACTTTGGCCATTTTCCACTGAGGAAGAATGACCTAAAAGAAGAGGAAACATCACCATCCTTCAGCTACTGTCTTGCCAGAAGCAAGAATACATTACAGTTCAGATGGCTCTCCAAACTGCAACACCCTTACCCCTCATTCGAAGTACAGTAGGGCCCTGCTTTATGGTGTTTCGGTTTATGGTGTTCTGCTAATACGGACATTTCAGATTATGACCAAAACTCTTTATACGGCTCCCCCCACCTGACTTTCTAATGCAGTCACTGCATTCTCTGTGAGCACCGCGTCTCTCCATCATGTCTGGAAACCTTCCAACGTTTCAAGTTTTTTTAAAAGTTATTTCATTTTTTTTTTCTTTTTACAAGTTGGCCATGTCCCACCTAAATAAACTTACACACTGCTGGCATGTAGGTACAATTAAAATCAGTAAGAGTGTCTTATGTCTCAAGATGCCATATTAATAATCATAATAATAATCATTGAGTCTCATTAAATGTCGTATATTACATTAATACACTTTTTTTTTTTTTTTTTTTTTTTTTTTTTTTTTTTTTTTTTTTTTTTTTTTTTTTTTTTTTTTTTCTCTCTCTCTCTCTCTCTCTCTCTCCTCTCTCCAAACAAGTCGGCCGTCTCCCACCGAGGCAGGGTGACCCAAGAAAGAAAGAAAATCCCCAAAAAGAAAATACTTTTATTATCATTCAACACTTTCACCACACTCACACATTATCACTGTTTTTGCAGAGGTGCTCAGAATACAACAGTTTAGAAGCATATACGTATAAAGATACACAACATATCCCTCCAAACTGCCAATATCCCAAAACCCTCCTTTAAAACCCTTTGAGGGTCGACAGGCCCTCTCCGAAACTCGTTCTCGGGGTCGGCCAATTTAAAAAAAAAAAAAATTTTTTCTCTTATGAAAAGATAGAGAATCTTTTCCCGATCATAACGACACCAAAAGTTTGAAATTTGATAGAAAACTTAGGGAATATGCTCTCGCAAAGTTAGCGGTCTCGCGATGTTTACGGATGGGCGATTTTGCCCCTTTGACCCCCATTTTCGGCCCAAATTTTTCACTGTACTATCGACAAAAAACTTTAAATATTTCGCTAGAATTTCCATTTTTTCTATCGAATGGGTGCAAGAAACCACCCATTTATAAATTCAACTATCCATACAGTGGTCAGAATTTAGCAATTTTGCCATTTCACACAAAATTTCAAAGATGCCAATTTCGAATAGGGTCCCGAATAAACAAGAAAGACATTTTCCCGGCACTAAAATGACATTTCCTCTAGTCATTAGTCACGTCTCAAGGCCCCTCTTATATTCTTTTGCTTTCCACCCTTTGAATTTTTTATTCTCACAAAAAATATAAGATTTACTGTTATGCAGACTTTCTGCATTAGTGTAAAAAAATGGGTATAAATTTATTGGTGCACTTGTGAAAGAATATTAGACCTCACCATTGACGTGTATTGCACGCTTGGGGACGATTTGTTTACTTTTGAAGTTTGTAAAAAATCGAACATTTCTGCTACTTTGAGCTCAATTTCAAGGGACCTTTCATTGTAAAACCAGTC